AGTTAAGTATATATTTGTTCACATTTAATGATACTAGTTTTCCTTACTGTATTTCCAGAGTAACACACACACACACACACACACACACAACACACACACGCACACACACACACAGTTTATTTCAAATGATATTTGTATTTTCCAGTTTCTTTTAACTAGGTAAATTAAGAAAAAACTGTTAATTTGAGTATGTTTTTAGCATATAATTTATAACCTAAGTGTTGAGAAAAATCTGTTTAGGTTTGTCCTTTAAGATTCAAATACTTGTAGATTCTAACTCTTAGCAGTAAATAAGTCTACATTTTCTTAATCCAAAAACATTTGCCTACTTGCTTGGTGAGATTCATGGAAATATTTATTTTCTCTAACTTGTGATGTTTTCCTTGTAAATTAAAAGGTCTGAAGCACCTTGTTTTCACATTTAATAATGTGGAAAAGGTGGCAGAGACATCACTTTAGATTTGAATGTTTTTATTTTGGTATTATTTTTTTAAACTAATTTATATGAAATTATTTTTGGTTTTTCTAACATATAATTAATTTTTGCATAAGCTAATTCCTCCCAGTCCTCTGTCTTTTTGTATATTTTTAGAGCATAATTTATTTTGAAGAATTACTTCATCAACAGTAGCATTTAATACAGTTGACAGTTATAAAGCTGTATAATGGTCTCTAAGCTATATTGTAAGTGGGAAAAAAAAACAAAAAATAAGGTTGCAGTATAGTGTGTATAGTGTAGTGATAGGTAAAAATGTGGATGGAAGAGACACCATATATGTGTATGTGCTATAGGTATGAAGTATCTCTGGAAGCATTATTAAATTGAAACAAATATAAAATTAACATTAAAAGAAAGCCATTGTAGAAGATGGGAAAGGCTTCAAAAACTGATGCCAGTACATAGATTTAGTTTTTGACATTCAAATAGTTTATTTTCCTTAATGACTTAATGGATTTAGTTTTTTTGTGACATGACAGCACATGTAATTACATTTTTTTTGTTGTTTTTTGAGACAGGGTCTTGTTCTGTTGCCCAGGTTGGATGGCGTGATCATAGCTCACTACAGCCTCTACCTCCCAGGCTGAATTGATCGTCCTGCCTCAGTAGCTGGGACGACAGACTTGTGCCACTATACCTGGCTAATTTTTGTAGTTTTTGTGGAAATGTGGTTTCACCATGTTGTGCAGGCTGGTCTTGAACTTCTGGGCTCAAGTGATCTCTCCTTGGTCTCCCAAAGTGCTAGGATTATAGAGGTGAGCCACCATGCCCGGCCACATTTTCTTTTTTAATACCATGACTTTCTTTACTCTTACTTATTTCACTGATTTTGTATCACCTTTAAAAAAAGTCTTCTTAGTTTGGAATATTTCACTGAAAATTTGCAGAGGCAGCACAGGGATTTTCTATATATCTGTCACCCAGCTTTCCCTAAGGTTGTTTTAGGAGTCATTAAGAAATTAGCTAGAGAGGAAAAGGGGTCCTTGGAAAGATTTTCTCTTTTAAAGCAGTTCTAGAAACATTTCTTGTCTAGCAGGAAAGCCCCTGTCTCTTAGAGCCTGGCTGGCGACCATTGATATGCAAATACAGGCCATTTAGAAACTGGGTGATGATGCCCACAGTTGTCCTCCTGCCCCAGCCCACACGTGTGCCTGGCATCATGGCTGTCCCCACATATTCCTACCTGTGTAGAACATCATGGCGCCCTGTATTTGCATATTAAAGGCTAGGGTGGGTGGGCCAGTTTTTTCTGCAGACTCTGTGAATGACATGCGTGGTCAAACCAATCCCCTGAGCCTTATGCAAATCAGGCACGCTTCCTCTAGCCTCCTCATATAACTGGCTGTTATCCGCCTGGCACTGGGGTTTCCTATCTCCACTTTGGAGCCCCCTTCCCTCTGTCTCTGTACATGGGTGCTTCTTCCATCTTTCCTCTCCCTTCTTTCTTGCCTATTAAACTCTCCACTCATTAAACCACTCCACTTGTCTGTGTCATTTTATCCAGTTTTGGCATTCCTCCACTCTTCAGAGCTGTATCAGTGTTAACAGCTAAAATAACCATGGTACATTTGTTAAAACTAACAAATTAACACTGATACAATATTATTAACTAAACTACAGACTTTATTTAGCTATCACCAGTTTTTCCACTCATGTCCTTTTTCTATTTCAGGATCAATCCAGCATAGCATGTTGTATTTAGTCACATTTCTTTCCTCTAATCTTGACAGTTTTATAGTCACTGTTTTACATAATCCTAGGTTTTCATGACTTTGACACTTATGAAGAGTACTAGTCAAGTATTTTTTTATTTTTTATTTTTTGAGACGAAGTCTAGCTCTGTCGCCAGGCTGGAGTGCAGTGGCGCAAACTCGACTCACAGCAACTTCCGCCTCCCGGGTTCAAGCGATCCTTCCGCCTCAGCCTCCTGAGTAGCTGGGACCACAGGCACGTGCCACCATGCCCGGCTATTTTTTGTATTTTTAGTAGAGACGGGGTTTCACCGTGTTGGCCAGGATGGTCTCTATCTCTTGACCTCGTGATCCGCCCACCTCGGTCTCCCAAAGTGCTGGGATTACAGGCGTGAGCCACCGCGCCTGGCCTAGTCAAGTATTTTTTACTCAATTTGGGTTTATCTGATATCTTCTCATGATGATACTGAGGTTAAAGATCTTGATAAAGAATGCAGAAGTGGCAGGGCGCCGTGGCTCACGCTGGTAATCCCAGCACTTTGGGAGGCCAAGGCAGGCGGATCACTTGAGGTTAGGAGTTAGAAACCAGCCTGGCCAACATGGTGAAACCCAACCTCCACTAAAAATACAAAAATTATTTGGGCATGGTGGCAGGCATCTGTAGTCCCAGCTACTCAGGAAGCTGAGGCAGGAGACTCCCTTGAACTTGTGAGGCTGAGGTTGCAGTGAGCTGAGATCACGCCTCTGCATTCCAGCCTGGGTGACAGAATGAGATCTGTCTCAAAAAAAAAAAAAAATATATATATATATATATATATATATATATGTGTGTGTGTGTGTGTGTGTGTGTGTGTGTGTGCGTGTGCGTGCATGTGCTTTTCATCATTTCGGGAGCACATTATATCAACATGACTTGTCACTGGTGTGACAAGACACTGGTTTTGCCATCTTTCTCCACTGTAAAGTTACTATTTTTCATTTTTGTTTTCTATTTTTTTTTTTTTTTTTGAGATGGAGTTTCGCTCTTGTTGCCCAGACTGGAGTGCAATGGTGCGATCTCAGCTCACCACAGCCTCCACCTCCCAGGTTTAAGCAATTCTCCTGCCTCACCCTCCCGAGTAGCTGGGATTACAGGCATGTACTATCACACCCAGCTAATTTTGTACTTTTAGTAGAGTTGGGGTTTCTACATGTTGATCAGGCTGGTATTGAGCTCTTGACCTCAGGTGATCTGCCCACTTCGACCTCCTGAAGTGCTAGGATTACAGGTGTGAGCCACTGAACCCAGCTTCCTGTTCTGTATTTATTGGAATTAAGTCACTAAATTCAGTTCACATTCAAGGTGGACAATTAAGATCTACCTCCTGGAAACAGGCATATCTAAATATATTACTTGGATTTTTTTTGTAAAGGAGTATCTGTAATAATTATTTCTTTCTATCTCATTGTTATTGTTTAATCATTTATTTCAGTATTGACTCAGGGATATTTGTTTTATTCTTTGGTTTATAATCCAGTTCTATCTTAATTTTTTTTGCTCAAATTGTTTTAACTTTGGTCACTGGGAGCTCTTCAGGTTGGTTCCTGGATCCATTTGACATGTCTCACCCCTTCTTCTCTTTCTTTTCTTGATCACTTTCTTACCTTCTCTCACTACCAGGTTCTCCAGACTCATCTGGCATTTTCCTGCTTTACCCCTAAAACCATCCATTTCTCTAAGGAAGCTGGGTTCCTTTTATTGATGAATTATATTTAGAAACCAAGGTATGGGCCCTAGATGGCTTCCTTGCTATATAGAGTGTCACTGCTTCTAGATTCTCTCAGTTGACAGCCCTTGGAAATATGTCTGTGTATACTAACCAATGTATTTGTACATGTGTAATATTTCTGTATCTGGCTATCCACATATGTTAAAATATTAATATATTAAATAAATAAAATATTAATATCTTAATAATTTATTAATTTTAAGTAATATTTTCTATATATTAAGATAAATGAGTTTATACTGGCATCACAAACTCTCATCCAGCACCACAAGTTTCGTTCTAGCCTTTTCTTTTTGTTTACATGTAATTTCTGTCTTTACCATCAAGAAACCTCATTCCCTTTCTGTAATTTATGTGTTCAAACTGAGTATACATGCAAATTAGTCTCAGAATTGTTAATACCTATCGCCACAAGAAACAGATTTACCCACTAGACTGCTATGTTTATTTATAGTTCTTTGTGTCTTTAGCCTAATGGTATCCAGTTAAGATATCATTTTCCAGAGTAACTTAGACCAGCTCCATTCTTCCTCATCACCTTCAGGAATGTTATTTATGTTGTTTTTAATCATTAATTATTATTAAAATTATAGTGCTGCATAAAATAATGATATAGTACATGATAAGCTGTTTATGAAATATTATCAGAAAAATATAAAGAGGAGTAACTTTTTACAATTTTCTTTTTTTTTTCTGCTTACCTGTTTAATCTTGGCTACCTTATCATGACTAAGGAAATAGTATGCTAAAGTCTATGGATGAGGAAAAGTACATATTTTTAATTAATAGAAAGTCATTTCCTAATTCAGCTAGGGAACTTTGTTTTGCTTTATAGTCCTGTACTTTGAAACATCTCATAGTTCTCATGCTAAAAGTTCGTTAAAAATAAACATTAAAAGTTCATTTTTAATGAACTTTTTTTGATGGATTTTTTAATGTTTAATAATTAACTAAATACAAAGTTATATCCATATCATATTTTGACTTTATATGATGTAAATATGTTGAAGAATTCAAACATTGAATTCCTCAATGTATGGACTTTGGATTCAGCAATATAAAGGGGCGAACTTTGATTCTGACCCCTAAATAGACTATTTTGTTCAATATTCAGCTCCCTGAGCCTTAACTTTCTTATCTGTAAGATGGGCATAATAGCACCTACCTCATATGAATTAAAAGCTATAATATACCAGAAGATTCTAGCACGAATCTTACACACAGTACATTCTCTCTATACATTAGTTTTTTACCTTTTTTATCATCCCATAATCCCCTCTCATCCTTTCATTTGAATTTTGTTGCTGTCTCGTCTTTAATCATCAGGCTAATTCAAGTTTGTCACAGTGGAGAATAGCACAGAAGTCACCGAGTTTATCCTCTTGGGATTAACAGATGACCCCAATCTTCAGATATCCCTCCTCCTGGCATTTTTATTCATCTGCCTCATCACGATGCGGGGAATGATGGTGATCATCCACTCAGACTCCCATCTCCACACTCCAATGTACTTCTTCCTCAGTAACCTCTCCTTTGTAGACTTGGGTTACTCATCAGCTGTAGCCCCCAAAACAATGGATGCATTGCAGTCAGGGGACAAGGTCATCTCCTACAATGGATGTGCAGCTCAGTTCTTCTTTGTGGGGTTTGCCACTGTTGAGTGCTACCTTCTGGCCTCCATGGCCTATGACCGCCATGCAGTGGTATGTAGGCCCCTTCATTACACCACCACCATGACAGCAGGTGTGTGTGCCCTCCTTGCTATTGGTTCCTATGTCTCTGGCTTCCTCAATGCCTCTATCCATGCAGCAGGCACCTTCAGACTCTCCTGTGGTTCTAATGAGATTAATCATTTCTTCTGTGACATTCCTCCACTCTTGTCTCTGTCATGCTCCAACACACGCATCAGCAAGTTGGTGGTCTTCTTTGTGGTTGGCCTCAACGTCTTCTTCACCCTCCTGGTCATCCTCGTTTCTTACTTCTTCGTATGTGTCACCATTCAAAGGATGCGTTCTGCTGAAGGGCGGAAGAAAGCCTTCTCCACCTCTGCTTCCCACCTCACTGCTGTGTCCATCTTCTATGGCACAATCATCTTCATGTACTTACAGCCCAACTCCAGCCAGTCCATGAACACAGACAAAATAGCCTCTGTGTTTTACACAGTGGTGATTCCCATGCTGAATCCCTTGATCTACAGCCTTAGGAACAAAGAAGCGAAAAGTGCTCTCTGGAAAATACTCAACAAACTTTACCCCCAATATTAAATGTGAGTGGGAAGTAGGCAAGCAATTAAGGGATAAACTTTCTCTCACTCCTAAAGGCCATCATGACTTTTAAGGTTTGGCTGGTTTCAGTTCTTTTTTCCCCAAGAACAGTGGTTACTTCTGCTATCAGGAGAAGATGTAAAAAGCAGCACATTGAAAAGTCTTACTCACAAAGATAATCTTGTATTTAGTGAACAGCAACATGAGACAGTTAAGCCTTTCTTGATTTAGTTTTTTGATGTGGATCAAAGCAGAAGATGGAAGCATACAACTGAATGTGCTGAATTTTCCTAACCAAATTTTTAACTGTAAGAATTTTTCATTCACTATTAAACTTGGTATAGAGATCCCACTTTCATTTATAATATTTATCAACATGCAGTATTGTTTTTTATTTCTTTGTTCTGTGAGTTTGAAAGTTGGACTTTATAATGTGGACAAAGGATGTTTCAATACTTTAAATGATATTTCAGAGAAAGTTGTAACTTAAAGGACAGGGCACTAAATCAAGAGTCAGGTGGCTGAAGATTAAATCCTTCCAATCTCATACTCTCCCTTCCCTACCCACATTCCTGCCCTTACTCACTGGTCATGTGCCTTTGCAATTGCCATTCCATTTTGCTAAGGTGTTGGGGAAACAATAAACTTTGTTGTATACAGACATATGGAAACATTTTAATAGATGAATGACTTAAACTTTAACATTTATTCGGAGAGCCTGCACTATCTTCTGTGTTTCTTGTTTCTAACATAATTACCAAGACTTCCAGAAGGTTTAGAGAAAAAAATGTATTTTCCCTAGAACTATGAAAAAATATATTTGTCTTCTGAATTAAATGCTTGCATTTCTTAGCACCCTTAAGTTTGGTGATTTTAATGAACTCTTAACATGAGAACGATGAGCCAAATGTAAATAAATCACAGTAGTTACCATTTCACCATCCTCTTAACTGACCATTTCAAACTGATTTTTTTCTACTTCATATATTTCTCTTCATGTACAGCAGTCTTTTTGAAGGCAAATAAAATCTTGGACACAAAATATAAACTCTGGTATGTTATTAAATATAGCACCAATGTGGGAAGCAGATCTATCCTTTCTTTAGCTGTGTAGTACTTTTACTTAAAAAAAAAAAAAACTCTTTTATTTGGCTGAAGATAGGGCAAGTAAAAAACAAAGAAATTATTTTGCTGTTATGCTAAAACATTTTAAAGCAAATTTTGCTGAAGTTGCATTTCAGAATTTACTGACTGATTGTTAGGAGGCCAACTTCCCTGTATGTTTCTTACTTTTAATAGTAACTCTTTTTTTTCCCCCAGACGGAGTCTCTCTCTGTCTCCCAGGCTGGAGTGCAGTGATGAGATTTCGGCTTACTGCAACCTCTGCCTCCCAGAATCAAGCGATTCTCCTGTCTCAGCCTCCCAAGTAGCTGGGACCACAGGCGCATGCCACCACACCCGGCTAATTTTTTTGTATTTTTAGTAGAGACGGGGTTTCACTGTGTTAGCCAGGATGGTCTCGATTTCCTGACCTTGTGATCTGCCCTCCTCGGCCTCCCAAAGTGCTAGGATTACAGGTATGAGCCACCTTCCCCGGCCTAATAGTAATTCTTAAAACAGAGATAGGAAACATGTTTGGAGCTGTATACTATTTTATGATTAAAAGCACTTCTGGAGAGCTGTGCTATTATATACTTTCTTTTCATAATTATTAGTAAGTATTTTAGTTCAGAAACTACTTCCCAATTTGATATATTCTTCATAAATCTTGTTGGACATTTTTCTGTCAATATGAGATCCTCTTCCGGGGTACTTTTCTCTGTGGCAAGGAAAAATTAGAAGGTAAATCCTTCCCTGTGAAGGAAATGTGACTGGTTGGCTAGTCTGTTTGCTTACAAATGTATTTATAAGGCAAATTTTATTCAGCATATTTTTTGTGCTAATCCCTTTGTTAGGTGCAAATACAAAGATGGGGGGAAAGGAACATTTCCATTCTGAAGGATCACAGTAGAGTTGAGGGGGACAAATGCACAAATATGATACAGGGTACCAAGAACAATGCTAGTAGGTATTTTGGGAGAAGAGAAATATCATGTATCTTGGCAGGGGAAATTACGAAATAGTTTCTAATGGAGGAATATTACCTACTTAGAGAATGTGTAAAAGTCATCCAGGAGAAGATGTGCAGAGAAAGAGAAGGACACTTATTTATAGAGGGCAAGGTAGGAGCAAAGTCCCAGAGAAGAATATATGTAAGAAACTATAGACAGATCAGGGTTTCTTGCAAAGTAAGGAAATGGCAAGAAAAGAGGCCAGAGAATAAGATAGAGCCCAGATTGTGGAGGGCTTTTTAATGCCATTGTTGGTATTAATGCATCATGTTGTGTAAGGGAAAGATCCTTGACTGGACAGACATGTGTTCACCGCTTTTCTCTTTTATTAGCTAATTGCTTTGGGCATGTTATGTACCTGTTTTTGAGCCTTAGTCTCCTAATTTGGAAATAGGAACAATTATATATGCTTTGAAACTAATTAAATGAGATAATAGTATTTATAAAATTATGTTAGGTACTTTGTAAATGCACAGTATCAGGGCTCTGGATCTGTTCCTCCCATGAGAATGTCCAAAATTATCTTTTCCTCTCAAGCTGCATGTCTTCTATGTCCAAAAATACTGTAATACCATGACTCAAAACCTTTTTGAACTGGATTTTTTTTTTTTTTAACTTAAAAGTCATAGGTCTCCTTTTTGTATGGAGTCACACATACATTACTTAACCACAGAAATTATAGTAACTATATGTGTTATTAAGGACTTCTTTATACAGTAGCTATGTAGTTGACTCAAAAGAATGGAAGAGCATTGAAATGTATATTTCTTCTTATAGGAAAGGACTTCTTGAATAAGATGTTTTTGTCTATGGTTTAGTGCCTACTTGGTTTGGTGCTTGATGACATGTAATTAAGTTAAAGACAGAATGCACAGTGGAAAGGATTCAGAAGAATATAGGCAGCATATAATTTATACACACTTGATTTGTGGGAACATTCTCTTGTGGAGTGTGAATGTAGAACTTTTACCTTTACTGGGGACAACTATTTGTTTTTATAATTCTGGACATTTAGGGGAGTACGAAGTATATAGCTAAATAACCTAAAGTAAAAGCTATGAATCAAAAAACATAATGCAGTGTCCATTTGTGTTACTGAGGTTGCCATTGCCTGCATATAACAGAATATGTGACTAAACGTGGCTTGAAGAAATATGGGCTTTCTCATAAAAAGTCCAGAGGTAGGCAGTTCAGGGTTGGCTAGGTCAGCAGTTCAGCACCATCAGGGTTCTATATCAGTTTTTCAAATGGAAATGTCCAAAGCAAGAAACAGGAAGAATAAGGGATATTTTTCCTGCTTCTTTTTTACATATTTTCTCAAATATAATTATGTTACTTATAAAGAAAACTATATTTTTGGAAACAAAACTTCTTTTCAACATCTCTCTCTCCTTTTATTAGATAAAACTTTTTCAAAAGTGCCTCATTAGACTTCCTTTTATGTCTCATTAACCAGAATTGGCTCATATGATCACCCCTAAACGAATCACTGGAAAAGAGTAATGGGATAGCCACGGTTTGCTTGTAGTTATTATGATTCATTCCCCGATGCTAGCCCTACCTTCTCTGAGTACATTGTTAACTGAACATCTGAAAAAATTGGTTCTGGTGGCAAGGAAGGTGGGGTAAATAATTGTTAGGTAGAAAATCAACATTGTTTTACCAACTAAGAAGTATAATGATATAAACTGGTATATATGTATAGTATTTGATATTTTTTCAAAGTAAATTATATTTTAGGTGGATTCCTGTTTTGAGATGCAAATTCAAGATATTCACTTTTTTTTTCCTTTTATAATCACACTAAAAGATCTGTATACAAACAAAGACAATGAAGTAACCAAGGCTGTCTTGATACCTTCTCATATCTGCCCTATTTCTAACATTCTTTTTGTTTTACCCTAGGAATAGAGACCTAAAACTCCCTGGATGTAAAAGGATGCCCTCCTTTACTCACTGTGCTCCAGACAGTCTAGCTTTCTAGCTTTTCCTTGTACATGCCACTATTGCTTAGCCCAGTAGTCCCGAGCCTTTTTGGCACCAGGGACTGGTTTCCTGGAAGACATTTTTTTTTTATGAATGGGTCAGTGGTTTTGGAATGAAACTGTTCCACATCAGATCATCAGTTAGATCCTCATAAGGAGTGTGCAACCTAGATCCCTTGCATGAGCAATTCATGGTAGAGTTGGCGTTCCTATGAGAATCTAGTGCTGTGGCAGATCTGACGAAAGGCAAAGTGAGTGGTAATGCTCACTCACCCACCTACCACTGCTCACATCCTGCGAGGCCTTGGACTAGTACCTGTCTATGGCCTGGGGGGCTGGGGACCCCTGGCTTACCTCCTTTGCTCTTGTTACTCACTCTGCCTGGAACTTGCTTCCTTAGATCCCTGTGATTTTAGCTTTTTATAATTCAGCTCTCAGCTCAAATGTTACCTCTCTAAGCAGAGTCTTTCCCCTCATTACTCATTCTAAATGAGCCTCTCCATTTAGTTTCTGTTAGCCCATTTTGTTTTCTTCTTGGGACCTACCACTAAGTACTATTATTTATTTGAGTTTATGTTCATTTTCTGCTGTTTTGGCTATACTGACCCATAACACAAGAAACTTCTCCTTTGTTGTCTCTGCCTTATCTCAGTCTCTTTTCTAGGTACCAGGCACATAGTTGGTACTCAATAAATGTTTATTGAAATAAAAAATACTGAGAAATAGTGAGTTTGAAATTATTCTTTAAAAAAAAATTTGTTTAGTTAAAACCTATGTATTTGGCTTATCAGCCAAACTGAGGGTGAAGGTGAGCATCTTAAAGGGTAGCTATTGCAGTAGAAGGCTATGCTTCCTCTGTAAGTAGGACAAATCAAGATAATACCTTTGAGCAGGGCCAAGATTTGCCTCAGGGAAAAATTTTATATTTCTGCACCTGATCTGAGCACTGTTAAAATGGGTAGCTGAAGCCCCAAGGATGAAATTTGTTTAGCTTGGAAATCATTTAAGTGGGCTTTACCAAATCCTCACTGTAATCATAAAATTCAATGTCATGGTATCATTGGAACATCAGACTTTAGGCTGAGTAAGTTTCAGGTGAACCTACCAATGAAAACTGCATTGCACAATGTCTGCTTAAATGATTTAACTCTAATCCAGGTAACTGTTGGGAGACATTAAGCAAAAACTGTCATTTTGTTTTTAGAACCCTTCAATGTGAAGGCGTTGTCAAACCAGTAATTAGTAATTAGAGAACATTGTCCTTTAAAGCCCATTTCTAGTGTAAAGCAATAAAGTCATGCATACAAATGAATTCTCATCTTTCCGACTTCTCTTGAGAAATGGAGAAATGGAGGCAGTTTCCATTTAGCTTGCCCCAAAGTGGATGTAAATTTAAAGTCGAAAGAGATAAACCAGGAAAAAATGTGCAACTTGTGTAATGTAATCATTTCTAAAAGTGAAAAGACCATTAATTTTACAGAATAATAGGCAGAAGATATTAATAGACAGCTTACTGAAAAAAACTAAGTTTGAATGGGCCCGTAGACATATGGCAGAGAGGTTCAACCTCTCTCCTAACAGGAATGCTGCATATTAAAATTATCCTGAGGTGCCATTTCTGATCTATCAGATTGTCAAAAATCCTAAACAATATGCTCCGTTACGAACTTGTGGGGAAACATGAGTTTTCATGTATTATTTGTAGGAGTGTTACCACTCTATTGAGGGTAATTCGATAATATTTAGTGAACGTTTATATAAATTTT